CCCACCCCCACCCTCATCCTCCCCCGCTCCGCGGCAGTTACAAGATTTACAAATCGTCCCCGCTCTCAGCCTTCCGCGACTCAGAAGACATTCATAAACCCCAGGCCTAGTTCACGACAACACGACGCAACCCAAAGAAGGCACCAGACAGGACGGACAACGTACAAGTGTTAGACGGGGAGGGCTCGGATATCCTTCATGACTGAAACTTACCATTTCTCTGCTGCATGCCGGACTCGAAAGAGGGAGCGCGCAGGGGCAGCTTCTCCTGCTTGAAGCGCCGCTCGAACGGCACAGTGGCGGCCATGGACACCGCGGGCAGCGACTCGCCGCGCGTCAGCGGGGGGCGAGGCTGGCCGACGCCGCTGCCGTCCTCCACCATCATGCGCTTGGCGCCGGGCACGTCGCCGTTCATCATGTGGGCGTGGTGGTCCTCCTCGTCCAGGTCGCGCTTGACCGCCACGGCGGGCGGCGGTAGGGAGTTGGGCCTGCCACCGTTGTGCATGGGCTGCGGCTGCGGGTGGGGCTGCTGCTGCTGTTGTTGTTGCTGCTGCTGCTGCAGCTGGGCGTGGTGCCCGGGCGGCGCAGAGGCCAGCTGGGCGCCGTGCGGGACTCCGCGGCTCCGCACCAGAGCGTCGTGCTCGGCCTGTGCCTGAGCTTGGGCCTGTGCCTGCGCCTGGGCTTGCGCCTGGGCCTGGGCCTGCGCCTGATCCACCAAAGGCCTGGGCATGGCCACACCGCCGCGCGGGGGCGGAGGAACGCCAGGACCCGGGCCGCCAGGACCGGGGCCTCCGGGACCTCCTGGGCCGCCGGGGTACTCAAGCAGGGCGGCGCGGTGGTGGTGCTGGTAGGCTGGGTGCTGCTGAGGCGCAGGCTGCGGCCGCGAGTGCGCGGCCGGCGGCATGGTGGCCACCTCCATCCCGTTCTCGTGGGCGGCTCGCACCGCCACGGGCGGCTTGGCCGAGGCGGCCGACGGCCGCGAGGGCACGTCCTGCGCCATGTAGGACGCGCCGCGCTTCATCTGGCGCACGCCGTCCAGCACGCACTCGATGCGGTCCGCGCCCTCATAGTTGACGCAGCCCCGGCACACCACCTCGCTGAAGTCGTGCAGCAGCGCCCAGGGCGCGCGGGGCAGGTCGCACAGGTAGCAGTGCTGCCTCTTGGGCGGCATCACGGACATGGTGGCCGCGTTGCTGTCGAACGCCACGTCAAAGGAAAGGTCGAACCTGGGCAGCGCCGAGGACTCCACTACTGCGTCTATCGCTCTCACGCACTGGGTTCACTGAACAGAGCAGGCTCACACCGCGGGCGCCCTGGGGCTTGGGGCCATCGCCGGGCCGGCCACACACTCTCACTGCACTATCACACTCGGCAAGCGCAGGGCGACGCGCTCAGGTCGAACAGCGTCTCTCACTAGCAATGCGCTCTCTCCACTCGCCTCGACTCGACTGACTGCTCGCTGCTGGCTGCCTGGCTGCCTGGCTGCCTGGGCCCGACGCCAGCGGGGCGCGGCCAGGGAGAGGGACGGGAGGGGAGGGCCGCGCTGCGCGCAGCCGCGGTCGCTACCGCCGCCCCCCTCCACGCGCAGCGGCCATGGTACTTAAAATTCCACTTGTACAGCGTACTCGAGCAGGCCAGCCAGCACCGCTGCTGCCCCCCTCCCCCCGGCCCTTCCCCACCTCCCGTTGGCGTTGCCTCCCCCTCACCTCCTCCGCCCTCCCCGCCCCGCGCGGTGCTTCGAGCAGGAGGACAGACGAGGCTGGCAGCCCGGCCAGCAGCGCTGGGGGAGGGGCAGCGTCACACTCGCTCACCCTGCGCAGGCCAGGCCCGCGCGCAGCCACCTCGGCGAGGCCGCCAAAATACCGAGCCGCGCTGAGCCGGAGGGAAGGGAGGGGGGAGACCAGGCCATGGTCCAAAGAGAAGCTAACCGGCGCGGCCGGGGCTGCGCGGGCTGCGCCGAGCGGCCGCGCGAGGTCTGCCAGTGCGCTGTACCCTGGCGCGCCTGTAGTTGCGCGGCCGGCACGCCAGCTTGAGCCGGCGGCGGGGCGGGCTCGCATAGCGACGCCCTGCGGTGTACGTTGTTAACCCTTTGACCCCCCTCCCCCCAACTCGCTGTATTTAATTAGGATCTTGGAGGGGAAGGGGAGGGACCTAGAGACACGACCTCGCCACGGGGGTGGCGGACCAGGAAAACAATCACATTGGCTGTCCGTCGTCCGGGGGTTGCGCGGCTGCGATCTGTGGATACATGCATGTCTTAATGGTTAAGGCAATTGAATGACCTCCTCGTTAAGGTGTTGTGATGGTGGTGCTGAAGCCACAACCACCGTGCTGAACCCCGCCCCACCCCGCCGCCGTCAGCTGACCGTCCGAACCGGGCAACACAAAGGCCCACAAGTGTTCGTCGAAATGAAAATGAAACGAGTCAGCTAGCTGGGCGGCGGGCGGGGCCGGCGGGGCGGGCCGCAGACCGCATGGCACAGCGGTGAGTCGGGCGGGGCACCTGCGGGAGCACACCTGCTGTCGGGAGTACACACAGTGTTGCCAAACAAACTGGCCGGACATAGCCGCAGCTAAGCGCAGCGGGCACCTCCCCGTCAGACGTCATCGCGTTGGTGCAGTAGTAGCAGGCGCCCGCGGTCGCAGGGAGGCGCGTGCGGCCGCACGGTCTGTGGGCCGCCGACGACAACAGCCGCCGCCCGAGCCCCGCGAGCCCCGCCGGCACCCGTGCCCCGTTGCCGCCTGGCAACACATCGCCGACATGAGCGCACAGCCACTTGGCCAGAGGCTGCCAGAGCGGCGCTTTGACTTTCATAATTGCCTCCAATCACCGCCAGGCCAGACCACTATGTGGACTGGACCAGACTGTGGCCGCCTGCCTGCCGCCTGGCCTGAATACTGTACGGCGTTGACGGGACAGCACGTCGTGACGTCACGACACAGGCCGTCGGGCACATACGGACGGAGACGTGTGTCCCAGGGACCGATACTACAGGTGCGCTGGGGGTTCACCTGCACCCGTGACCGAGGACGCCAGTCAACCACGGCAGCGACGGCGGAAATGTCATTTGTACTCACCGGACCCACCGGCCGGCTCCGTGGGCTCCGTGCGGGTAGGCAACTCGCCCGCATTGCTGCGTGCAGCACAGCATCCCCAACGCTCCACGGCGGCGCGAACTGGGTGCACGCACCAAATACACAAACAAGACGTCAAAACGGAGACGGGCGCTAGTGCAACTTCGTTGAAGGACCTCATAAACCCCATGCAAGGTTTAGGCGCAGCGCCCTGTGCTGATTCTAGGAATCCCCTCCATCCATACCCCCCGCATACCCCCTTCGAACAGGGATGGTAATCGAGCCTCGGTATTCATCGGAGCGGAGCGCAACGCGGCACGGTGGCATCGCGTGCAGGCTTCTCCCAGCCGTGCAGCGCACTCTGCGCGGGCGAGCCGAGCCCGTCCCGGTCGGCGCCGCCGCGGTCAGCGCCGAGCGATAGCGACTTGCTCCAACAAGTACTACTTTACGACCGAAGGCGTCTGCTCTGCTGCACTGCAGGGCGCAAGGCCCCGGACGGGTCTCTCGACATCCCAGAAGGCGGTGGCGAACCGCGAGCAGTGCAGTGCACCCCGGACACACCAGGGACGGGCCGAGCCGAGCGTGTCACTTTGGGTGCAGACCGTCTGGACTGCATCCGGCACGGCCGCGGCCGACATGGCGGCGGGGCACATGATGGGGCTCATGGCGGCAGCGCGCCTACGAGGTGGCGGCCATGGCAACAGGGCGGCAGTTAGGACCGTCCTGCGAGCCGGCGGCCGCCGACATCCTCTGCGTCCTGCGGCGGGCGGCGTTGCGAAAGCCCGACCCGTAGCCGCACTGCCCGCGCCCCGCGCCGCGCCCAGCAGCAGCAGCAGCCGCATAGTGACCTTGTGCTAATAACTTGGTTGCGGGGCGGGTTTGAGCGCCTCGGGAGCGACTCGCCAGACCAGAGTGTGCGCGTGTGTGTGTGTGCGTGTGGCACTGGCCGGCACTCGGCACGTCGTTCGGTCGCACAGCCCCGCTCGCTCTCCACCCTGTCCTGTCCCACCGGCCGACACGACCGACCGACCGACCCGTCTGGATTATATTGGCAAAAGAACGAGCGGCCGGCCGAGCGGCGATGAAATCACAAGGGTACAGAAATAAAGACGGCGGCCGTCCACATTCACATTCGTAGTCCTGCCGACCCGACGCGACGCCGGCCGGCGATAACTATATCTCGGGGCGATAAAAGGGGCGCCCTGACAGCTGATATGGTGCGAGCGCGACTCGACAGCGGCGCGTCTGACTCCGACAGATGGATGGGTGGATGGATGGCTGAGTACGTGACGGAGAGAAAGAAAGGGCTCCCGCCCGAACCGCAACCACCGGCGGACGGCGAGCTGCGCGCGCGTGTGTGTGGGTGCGCGGATAACGAGGGACATGTCACGGCCGTTCGCGCGGCTGGCGCGGCCGCCCCGCCACCAGCGCCACGAGGGTCACCGCACCGGCCGAAAAAGCCGAGCGCACGGGGAAAAAACTTTTGACGGGCAGCAAAGCTATGAGTATGCCCCCCCCCCTCCTTCCCCTCGCGCACCCGACCGCACACAGCACTGTGGCCTGGTTTGCACAGCGGGTCCCTTCGGCTTCAGCCGAGCCAGCCGGGCCTGGCCTGAGTGAGCGGAAGGCTGCTCAAGCAAGGCCCCTCTCTGCTGCTGGTGCGCTGCTGCTGCTGCTGCAACCAGTGTTGGTTCGAACGACTCGCAGCACAGCGCAGCCACAGCCTCCGCGGCTCGGACGGGGGCCGGGTGGTATGTACCGCCCCTCCCCGCCCCGCACCCCCTCCCTTGCTCTCTGTTACGCCTCGCTCTGCCCCGGTCGGGCTGGTTCGCTTGCTGGCTGGCAGGCTGGTCTTGACTGCTTCGCGCCGCAGACACATAAAATCTGTAGACGCCCCACTCCGTGTTTATTTCGTTTTGCAGCACAGCGCACAGGCCCTGCTGCCTGATCGCTCGCTCGCTGGCGCGGCGTGGCGTGGCGTGGCGCGGCCCGACGCTCATGGCGGCCTGGCTGGCTGGCTGGGGCTGTTGCCGGTCCGACTCGGCGGCCCCCGCCAGCAGTCCTCCAGGACAGGACCGTGGAGCTACACATAACCAGTTCGACGTGACGGGGGCGGAACCAGCCAGAGGAGGCCCCGGCAACCGAACCGGGCAGAGAGTTTCTTCTCAAAAGCTTTGCTGCCGCCTGTATTATGGTCTCGGTTTGCTGTAATCGTCCTCCGTCAAGGCGATGATCCCCTCTCATCACGTGAGCCGGCACGGCGACGGCCGGGCGAGGGGGCCGTCAAGAGGGCAGGGGCGGGCCGCGTACAAAAGCGCGGGGGGAGGAGGGGGAGGGGCCACCACGCCGAGAGGGTGTGTTGCACGGTGGAGAGAGAGAAGGTGGCGGCACGAGGGTCTCCCAGCATAGGGACCCGTGGGTCCAGAATCTCGACAGGTTGGGGGATTATCGGCCGAGTCGGGGCTATCTAACGTGCCGGTACGGAGTACCTGCAGTCGGGGCGGCCTATGCAGATACCTGGGC